AATGTTGGCCATTTTAATGACCACTATAAAACAAAAACAAATGAGAAAATGCCAACAACACAAGGAAATGTACTGGCTAGTTACTGTTAGTTACGCTTAGGCATGGGCCGATTACCGGTTTCAAGGTATACCGCGATTTGAAAATGTCACGGTTTCAAAGCTAATATTTTCCATTATACCGTTCCTGCGGTATGTGCTGTTTTTCATGTCTCCTCAAAGACTGAAAGTGTAGGAATCCCTCAGGTTGAGTGCAGTGTAGAGTAGCGCGTCTCCTCCTCCTGTTGGTGCAAGCGAGCGGTCAGTCACGTGTGTGTATGACGGCCGAAGGAGCTTCCTCTGGAACTTACGCAATCGGCAACCGGCCGTTTATTGTTTTATTGCAGCCGATCTCTGTTCTGGACTTGCACAAACTGCATTTCAATGCATATAAATTTTCCAAATGTCATTTATGTGAAAATATGAAGTCTGTAAACGCACGTTAACAGAGGCCAGAGACGCTGAAGACGGACTGTAGCAGGCAGATCACTCACTGTTCATGATGCACGAACTATTGGAAGAAAATCCAAAATATTGATTTGGGGGTTTATATGAATGTGTTTCTGAGGGGAACTGACTGTCTTCAGAAACGTTTAGATGGTATTTTCTTTTCATCTCGTATAATTCACATTAAAGCAGTGTTGCAGTGCAGCTCTGCTTTGTTTACTGCGATAACTTTAATTACAGATTTAGGTTAAATAAAGATGTCAGTCTTTATTTTTCTTCTTTTTAGGGCAGCAGTAGCTCTAGCAGCAAATCAACCATCCACATCAAAAGCTGCAGGACAGCCCACATTTTAGTAACAAATCAAAGAAAAAATAAACAAATGCTACTCCAAATAATCTTTATGCTGCTCAAAATATATTGGTCAGTTTTAGTTTTTTTTTACCCAGACATTTAAAATGAACACATTTTAGAGCTGTAACAACAATACCGTGATACTGTGAAACCGTGATATTTTTGCTTAAGGTTATCATACCGTCAAAATCTCATACCGGCCCATGCCTAGTTACGCTTTAGACTTAATCTTAGGATACCATATCAGATTCTTAGATTAAAACATAAATTAAAAACAGTTTTGGTGCTCTGATTAAAGAGTGCAATAGAGTTTTTTCCAAACATAAATGTGATTGAAAACACAAGTGAGCAGGGACAATAACTGGAACGGAGCCATGACGGAGGAAACATCTCAAGAGGAAAACAACTTCAACTGCAGTAATCTCTGTAGCTCTAATGATTCTGCCGCGTGCAGCATTGTTAGGGGTGTTTCCTCCACAGGCAGACACAGGATCCATGTGTCCCAGCCACACTTGACCCAGCACGTCACAGTATGTACTGCCCCCACCACCCACTGGCACACAAAGGCGACATTGTACCCCACGATGCAGGTCAACCTCTCCTTCCCAGCCTGGGACGGCTCTTGTTCACTGGCCTCTGACAGATCAGGACAACTGGCCTGTCCTTCTATGTGAGAGGGTCAGCTTTAGTAGTGAATTCAGCACTACATTAATGGCAAATGTTCCTCCATTTCCTAGACAAACTACTTTGACTCCAAGTTTGTATGATTGTTCACTACTACCAAATTCACCAATGTTAAAACTCATAAAATGCAGAAAATTAGCAAATTAAAATACAAATTAGCCTATATAACCATTGGCATTTCATTAAAAAGAAGACCATGTTCTTGTTCTTTATGAGAAGTGGTTTTATTTAATTTTAACAAAGGTATGTTGTGCGTCACCGCAGTTAAATCGGTGTCTATCATGATAAAATCTTAATATCAAACCTATATAATGAATTTGGAAATTTTGGAGAAATGCTTAATAAACGCATTATACTATAACTAAACCCATTAGATTTTAGCTGACATAAAAAAAACTTACGATATTTAGTCGACTAAAACTAAAAACAATTCAGGTGACTAAAATATGACAAACTAAATGGCATTTTAGTCAAAAGACTATGACTAAAACTAAATCAAAATTAGCTGTCAAAGTTAACACTGATAATTACACCATTCAAAAATATGAGGTCAATTTTATTTAAATAAATTACTGACACTTTTGATCAATTTAATGTGTCCTTGCTGAATAAAAGTAAAGACTCCCACATTATTATAAAAAATATATATTTCAAATAAATGCTCTTTATTGGAACTTTCTACTAATCACAAAAACATGAAAAATTTAATCACAGTTTCCACACAAATATTAAGCAGCACAAATGCTTCCAACATTGATAATAATAATAATAATAGCTTCTTGAGCTGTAAATCAGCATATTAGAATGATTTCTGAAAGATCATGTAAACCTGAATAATATATGGAGTAATGGCTGCTAACAATTCAGCTTTGTCATAAATTACATTTTAAAATAACTAAATAGAAAACGGTCAGAGTAAAAATATTGTACAGGCCCCAACCTTTTCAAAAGTTTTAAATTGGCCCGAAGTTAACTTCCGGTCTGTGTTTGTTTATCAGTCTGGCTATGGCGCCGGCTACAAATGCAGTTAAAGTTAAGGTGAGGAGTAGACTGAAGTTGGGCTCAGGTGGCTGTGCTGTGGGATGTGTTTCCCATACATTTACTAATGTATGCTCGTTTATGTCCCCACGCATCATGTACATCGTCACGCGTTGACGTCATCAAATTGCGATCGGTTCGTGAGATCGAACAAGTTAGGGAGTACCGATCGAGTCATAAAACGTGATTATCGGCCGATACGATCTACGGCCGATCGATCGGAGCATCCCTACTAAACAGTGCGCAGAACGGTTGTCTGGACTACATTTGCTGTTCATTGATTGTATAAACTCTTTTAAACACCTCTAAAATGCAGTGAAAATTAAATTGAGAGTTAAAAAACTAAATAATTCAGTTGTAATGTAACACACTAACATCTCTGCTTAATGCCATCTTAATCTGTGGCACAGTTGCCCACTCCAATATCCAACTGCCCCAGATTTACTAAGAGATGAATTAAAGATTATGACAGTGGTAGAAAAAAAATGATGGTTGACTGAATCAGAGAATTACATCTCCGGATCTTGCCTTTCAGAATCAACCAAATCATATGTGCTTCATTGAGAAAAGAACCAGTAAGAAAACACAGGAGAGGTTTGAAAAAGCTCCAACTGCTCAAGAACAGGAGTGATGGGTCTTACTTTGTATGATCTCCTGCTGTGATGGGCAGACATACTCAGTATTCACAACCAATAACATGATAAACAACAGAGCATTGTATTCAAAAGCCAGACTCCCTAATTCATTCACTCTTTCAACACAACTAAAAACTTATAAATTACTTCTGGAGTAACCTTGTAGTTTAGTAGCAGCTGAAGAAGACAGTGTCTGATGGAGAAGTTAATGATATGCATTATCTTTCACATCTCACTTCAATATGCACAGATCCACAGCTCGGACAAGAAAAACTTGAGCCCACTGCAGTGAAATACGAAAAAATGCAGCCCTTTTTTCTTTCCGTTCTCTGGGCTTATCTGAGAGCAATAGATGTGGAAGAGTAAATTAATTTATCTCTCAGAGTGGAAAAACAAACTGAAATATAATAGGATATCGTTGGAAACAGTGACCATTCCATTTCTGCTGCTCTTCATCACATGATACTATGAAGCAAAGTACAGCCAATAACATTAAAGGTTGGCTGAAACTGCTAGTAAGCTCAAATTATGCTTTAAGGCAGGGCTCTACAGTGCGACTAGGAAACATTTTTTAGGAGCACCAGTGCGACTGACCTGATCATCATCATATTTGTGATTGCGCTCAGGGGAGCTTCAAAGGTTTCTACGTGTTTTTGCAGCATTGAGTAATGTATCACAGACATATCTCACGAATCCTTTCATAAGCAAAGTGTAGACAGGGTGTAAATAAGAGATTCATTGTGCAGTGTAGAGAGCTTCGTTGATTATAATGTGAGATCGCGATGAACTAAGATGAGTGACAGCTTTTAATGATTTTTAAGGGAGTTTGTAAATGTGATACTGATTTAATACAATACAATTCAATAAACAAGAAGTTAATATTAAGTGACTTAGATTGTCTGACTATAACACTATCGTCTGATCTTGCTCGAAAATGGTTTTAAACAAAGACACAGCGCATCTCCATTCAAACACTGCGGTGTTTCGTTTATGAATGAATGGGGTTTTTAAATGAATCTAGTGAGTCAGTGATTCATGATTACCCATTCATAGCCATTCGAATGAATCAATTGAATGAATGATTCCGTGATAAAATCAGTGACTTGCCGCCACCTGCTGGCAGTTTTAGTTTCATTTTTAAAGTACCTTTTCAATTATTTAAATCATTTAATGTTTCTATATTCAATTGTATATTTAAAACATTAATCTCATCATGAATTTAATTGCACTCATGCCACCTCTGAGCCTCATTAAATGTCTGACTTTTCAACTTTTGTGTTCTTCTGTGCCACCTCTACAAATTAATTTTGTTAATACGGATTTCATTTGATTGGTAACTTATAACTTGTTCTTATTCTGTCGGTTTAATTACAATTTTTAAAAAGCTTATAAAATATAATTTTTTTTAAGAATTTGACAAAAGATGACAATTTTAATAAAGTTAGAGGAGTCAAATATCACCTCTTAATGGGAAGGCTACTTTTTGATAAAATTTTGGATTATTGATTAGAAGGTGCTCCTAAAATTTTGAACGTAAAGAAAAGTAAGCGTAGAGCCCTGTAAGGTTTAGGAAATCTTGAACTGCTAAAAAAACGGCAAAAGAAGGAGAATTTGTCTGCTTATTTGAACAAAGTGGTGGTCTCATCTTCATGTAACACTGAACAAAGATTGAGAAAATACAACACACCCTCTTTATTTTCACAGCAAAATCCTCAGTGGAAATGCAGAATTCAAAAATGTTATTTCTGTAAGTTAACAGATGGAGCCACTGAGAGAGTTCATCAGAAGGAATATATGTTATGGTCTTACCTTGAAGCATGCATCTGTAGGCAGATTCAGAAATGGCGTAGATATGAGGTGGCATTTCATGCCTCTTCTTGCCCCTGTACATCTCAATGATGTTCTCCGAGTATATGGGGAGGTTTTTGTATGGGTTTATGACCACACAGAAGAGTCCTGAGTATGTCTGCACAGAGATAAGAACAAACAAAAAGAAATGCAAGACTTAATTGGTGGTCAACTTATAAGGATTTTTGCAATTAATTACATTGAGAACATAAGTACAATTCATAATCGAAGACTGCAACTTGAGATAAATCCCAACATTTTCACATATAAGAACCAGCAGAACGATTAAATATATAATGAAACCCTTAAATTTATTTCTTGTAAAGCCCCCCTTCTATCTCTAGTTTACTGGTTTAACATAATCAGTAAAGCTAGTGTTTGTATAATCATTTAGGGATTTCTGAAACACAGAATACTCCAGAGTAACTTGTGAAATATCCTAGAATAAGCCTATAGTTTTCCAAGGCTGCAAGGTATATTAAACCATAATTAAGCATAACTGTGAATTCACAAACGCTACGATTTAATTAAATAATTATATGCAATGCAGTTAAAGGCGTGTAGGTTACGTACGTGCGTCTCACAGCGGCTCCGTTCACAGTAAATGCTGTTCCACAGGAACTGTTATCATTTACATGTGTGGAGCGGCTGAATCTCCATCTCTGCATGTTGTTGGGAGTTTGGGTTTATTATAACGTTCATCTGGGAACGTAACGTGCGCCATTTCATCAGATTTGTAAGATAAATCATTCATAAATCCACGCAAACACAGGAGAATACATCATCTCATGGTTTCAAAATAAAAGCTCAAACCCTCACTGAGTTTACACGTTTTGATGTCCACATATTCATTTAATTACAGTGGCTATAGCATTTCTGTCGTCAAGAAATGGCCAAATATTAAAGATTAAGTGGACTAGCAACTTTGAATTATATGCTTGGTCAGTATTAAACAAGTATTAGATTGCAAAGTAATGTAGAGCCCTGCACGGGCCTCAAATGTAGGCCCTAGCCCGGCCAGTGTCCGACAACTTATCAGAATTACGCGGGCGGAGTCCGACCCGAGCCCATTTTTTTTCCACCTTCTCCCAAAACAGTTTATACTACTGTTTCAGCTATTAAAATAGTTAAGTTTTGTATGTAATGGCAAAGTGATTATATTTTGTTTAATTATTTTATTAAGTTAATTTTGAAAAACGTTTGGAGCATTTTTTGTTAATTAAATATAAGTTTTTGTTCTTTAAAGTAACGACCAAGCGGCCAGCGGCAGACAGTGAGCTGATAATAGCCTATGAGATTTTGATGGTATGATAACCTTAAGCAAAAATATCACGGTTTCACAGTATTGTCGTTACAGCTCTAAAATGTGTTATTTTTAAATGACTGGGTAAAAATAAAATAAGCAACATACAGATTATTAGGAACAGTAGAATTTGTTAGTTTTTTCTTTGATTTGTTTCCTAAAAAGAAGAAAAATAAAGAAAGACAGACATCTTTAGTTAACCTAAATCTGTAATTACAGTGATTTCATTTTAGTTATATAATTAACAGAGGTCGACCGATAGTGGATTTTGCCGATACCGATAGCTAGGTTGGACCACACTGGCCGATACCTATTAATTAACCGATATTTTTAAAATTGATACGGAACAAAAACTAAAATAGTGCTTAATTAACAAAAACAGTACTGAACCATACTAGTAGTAGTAGTAAAATATAATAATAATAATAGTAAAGGTTGAAATTAACACACTCTAACAAGGAACAATACTTACACAGCTTTCCTTAGTCTTAATGCTACAAATGGACTCTTATTTTAAAGTGTTACCATTTCATTTCAACTGTCATGCTTAAAGATGCACATCTTTAAATATATACACAAAGGCTATAGCATTAAAATTACATACATATTATGGCTATTGTATGTATACTCTCACACTTTAACTTCTTCTATTCTTGAACACTTGATGATTATCTAATCAAAATAAAAGCGCAGCGCTGAGTCTAGGAGAACTCACCGGTATCACATACACTCCGGACGCGTCGCGTTCAACTCGAGCAGCGGTCTAGAACAGTTTATTTAAATCACCAAACGGACACAAGTTTACTTCAAGAATGAACAATTTGGCATGGATCAGTTTGAAGTTCGGTGTTTAAAAAACGGAGCAAACGGAAAGAGAAAGCGCGACTTATATTATAGCTCTATAAATGAAGCACACCGACTTTAGAGCCACAGAAAGACAAACGTTTTGCTGAAAATGCACAATTCATTATGTACATTAACAACGATTCGGGACCAATAAAATGTAATTTAAAGGAAAACTATGTGAATGGCGCTCAGTGGCGCAGCAGGATTTTCTGTCGGTTGCATTTAAATCCGCATCTGAAGTTTCCTGCTCTGTTCAGCGTGCAGCATCACGTGTTATAGCAAATTGCACGTGCTGTCAGTGATTTTAACCACTAGAGGCACTTAATCGGCAAAACCGATACATCGGTCGACCTCTAATAATTAATTCATATCATTTAGTTATTTAATTTCATATACATAATTTGATTTAATAATAACCCAATTTGAAGCAAAAACAAAATGTTCTGACTAGCTTTGTGAAATTATACTACATGCCTGAACGAAACAAACAGCAGAAGCTCTGAATGAGACGCAGATTCACTCTCTGACAGCAGGAGGCGCTTCAGGAACACCAGATACAGTGTTTCCTTGGTTACCGCGGTAAACAAAGCAGCACTGCGCTGAAACACTGTTTTAATATGAACTATACAGAGACAAGATTAAAATAAAATACCGCTAACTTTTCTGAAGACAGTCAGTTCCCCTCAAACACATTCATATAAACCAGCAAATCAATATTGAGGATTTTCTTCCAATAGTTTGTGCATCATGATTTCCTTGGTTACCGCGGTAAACAAAGCAGCACTGCGCTGAAACACTGTTTTAATATGAACTATACAGAGACAAGATTAAAATAAAATACCGCTAACTTTTCTGAAGACAGTCAGTTCCCCTCAAACACATTCATATAAACCAGCAAATCAATATTGAGGATTTTCTTCCAATAGTTTGTGCATCATGAACGGTGAGTGACATATTAGGGCTGTGCAATATATCGAAATATCACAAATGTACATAATCGCAATATGCATATCGCTACGGCTTGCAATATTTGGGGCCATGAACAAAAGAGAGAAAATCACTCACTGCTCTTACCTAAATAACTTTTGCAGCTTAAATAAGAATCAGTGCATATTGAATTCATAGAGTAAATATTAAGCAGTGTTGTATTTTTCCCTTTTATTATTCAGTTCCTAAACTCATGTTAAAATTACATTTTTATGTAATGCTAGATTAAAACACTACCGTTCACTTTCAGAAGTTGTTGTAGGGGTGCTTTCTTCTCACAAAAAGTGAAACATGTATGCTAGTTATATTAGAATCAGAATGAGCTTTATTCACCACTTGTGTGCGCAAGTGTTGGTTTTACAGGAGCACTTGATACATACATGCAAATAAACATATATATGGCACAAGATCGTTATAGAAGTTCACAGAACTGACTCAGCAACAGCTGAGTAAAACTGCTTCTTCTGAGCATCTGGCACTTTAAGCACTATATCATATCGCATTTTTCTTCAATATTGCACAGCCCTAATATATATACAGTGGGTACGGAAAGTATTCAGACCCCCTTACATTTTTCACTCTTTGTTATATTGCAGCCATTTGCTAAAATCATTTAAGT